GTTGTGAACAAAACTTTCGCCTCAGGCGAGCAAAGAAGGACAAACAAAAATAAGTCAAACCTATCGAAAGCTTTTTTTTCCGAATATAAAACTCAGCAAGGTGAAGTCGCTCACTTCGTAACAGCAAAAGCTGCATAGGCTCCTGTGTGTTCTTTTTAGGCTCTTGGACGCCATCGGGATCGATCCCATCGCGAGCCGGCACAACTGCCTGTGTTGGTCTGTTACGCAAAGGACGATTATGGACGGCAAACTGCGGCGATTCAACTTGCGTTTTAGGAGTTCGCGTCGGAGGTGCGATTTAATGCAGCAGTTTGTTTGTTGCCAAATTAACTATTTATTTTTCATTTCAAGAGGGTTCGTCGTGGTATCCCGCTGGTATCCGGGCAACTTCGCCTCATTCCTTGAATGCACAAGAATGCGCGAGGATTGCCAGAGATGGTGGCCAGGTGAGTTTTTCAAGTATGACAATTGGTATTGACATAGCACTACAATTAGACGACAGCATGACGCGCATGTCACACGAAAAGTGCTCGATCTGTTCAAATATCGGCAATTTTGCATTAGTTTAAGTATGTCGCAAGCTATATTATTTACGTTATCTCAAAAACAACGTCCCAGTTATCAATAGTGGAATTATTGAAGGAGCAATGAGGATTTTGAAAAAAAAAAAAAAGATAAACGAGTTGCCGAGCCACACGCACACGAGGGCTGTCATCAACGTATTAGAACTACGAAATAACTCTTTTAAAGAATCTTGGCCCACTGCTGATGACCGTAATCCAGCTTGAGATGATTTTCCTGTGTGCTTGTGCCCACACGTCTCCTTCGATGCGGCGTAGCGCAAGCATAAGCGCAGCGTTGACGGCGCATTCTCATCCATACTCACCGTTATCCTCATATCACTTGCCGAGACCCTTAATGTGCCTCATTTCTCGAGTAGAATCTCCGGGGTTTAGTCACGTTCACTTGTTCCATCCAACAATCGTGTATAGCGGAAGCAATTATGTTGGCCCTTTGTGGCCTGAAAGCGCCAAAGGCAAAGATCTAGGAGTTTGTATCGCAATTTGTAGTCATACACCATGTTTGCCAGCCCGCCATTCCACTGTCGCTGCGAGCGGACGCAGCGAAAAGAAGCTGCGCTGCAGTTTGCGGCAGAACTAGCATTGTGGTTAATGTCACAGGCCACTGGAGCATCTGAAGCTGACTGTTCGTAAACTTGTCCTAACACCCCTCTCCTCCATCACAAGAAGGAGTACCACTGAAGGATAGCATTTTGTTGCGTAATCGAAGGGTTTGGTTTGCTTTGTTTCTTTTTTTTCAGACCACTTCCTACTTCCATCTTCAATTAGTGGGTGCCCTTCTACACCCACTTCATCACAGCTTGCTTTTAAAAGAAATCTCAAGCTTCCATCAGTGCAGACATGCCATTGTTGTAGATCACAATAAGAGGTCAGAGTGCTTTAATAGTGGAAAGGTACTGACTATGAGATTGAGTTATTGAAGGTTATCATAGACTATATGAAACGGCGAGTTTCCTACCCGTCTTTTCCCCTTCTACCACAGATTTACCCTGTAAGAATATCCGCTTCTCAATTTAGGTTGATAAGATACCGAGGAGATGCCCGAGTGGTGTTTAGTTGGTGCAATCGCCACTGCTGGGCCAGCAATCTCGATGTTCCCATCGCAAGTTGCACCAACCGTGTCTCAATATCACACGATCTCTTGGTGAGTTCACAGCTATACCAGGTTTGCTCCACCCGCTATCGCGCGCATCACAGGGTAGGGAGGAACCACGGAATAGCAGCATGGCGCACTCCATTAACCACCTCACTATCGGATGTGCTATACCTCCTATAACCCTTCTCTCCGGCGCATGGCAGCGCCATGTTCTCCCTCCCTTTCTCCTCTCCCCTTCCCTCCCTCTCTCCCCCTCCCTTCTGCTTTCCCCCCCCTACCCTCTACCTCCGCCGACTCCAGGCTGCCCCGGCAGCACATGTAGAATGAGGCTGAGTGTGCTCTATCGTTGTCTATATGTTGGTGTTATCATCGTCGTGACATCAACATCGCGAAGTGAAGCCTTTCGTACTCCGTGGTTTTGTGAGCGGTCGGTCTGGACGGACAGGACGACACACGCACGCACACACACACCGACAAACCGACACACCAAAGTTCTGTTTATATAATGAAGTGATTCACTTCAGGAGACTTTTGGTCATTCTCAAGTGACACTGGACGTTTCGCGATCTCTTGCGATCCAGATATTCGCTCGTTTTCCATCGCCGACGACAACATTTTCGGTTTCTGCCTTCACTCCGATGGAATTGCTCTCTCACCGGGTCACATCGTGAAAACGATGAATACAACGTCCTCTGAGGACAAGGTATCTTTTTTATTTTGCGTGCTCAGCTCAGGGTGATCTCATTTTCCCTCCAGTGAGCCTCGCCTCTCCGGCTCCTTACAATGAGCAGGAGCAAGAACATATCCGTCTACAGAACCCTGTTGCTTCCGTTTTATTATGAGAAGGCTGCTTTTTCGCCAGCCTCTTCGTGTGCTTTTTGCGGGCAAATCATCCTGGTTGGAAAACTTGGGCTAGAAGGATTTCCTTGTCCCTCGACTACCTCCCGGGTCTCCTGAAAGACCTTGCGGGTCAGAAAACCGATAACAGCCCTAGTTTGCGAAGATGAAACACTGTCTTGCACATGGGTGACTGCTACAGGTTAGTGTGATAAGTTCTCTGAGTATGAATCAGTCGAGTCTCATTTCTTTAGAGGCAAAGCACCGACTTCTACGGAAAAAATGGAGAGACTCAGAATAATGGATGTGACCACAATGGGCACACACTGTCCTCATAATTTTCGCCCATCCTATAATTGAAAGTGGTATGAGGCGCATCTCAAATTGAATTACCTTATCGGTTTTTATGGTTTCGTATACAGAGATGCCTATAATTTTGGTCTTCCCATTTGTGAGTGCAAATAAAAAGCGACACTGATTAATCTTTCTCAGATACGCCACGATCCCAACCCTGTTAGCAGTTTACCCATCGCTGTGAGATTCAAAGCTCTATCGGATGAGCAGAATCCAGGCCACATGTGGCTGTTTCAATGTGTTACCACAGTTTCAACCACGCTATGATGTTGTTTACTTTTGCATCATTTCGAACCCTATTTCTCTTGTCATTCCTACTTTCGAAATATTTTCTCGTGGAAATAATTCCGAGTGGGTTCCTGAGCACTGTTGGGTCTGTGCTAGCTGACACGGTGACCCTTATCGCCACATTTTTGTTTCGATACTTATTACCGCTTTTCAGGAAAATGCGTCAAACGCAACAGCGAAGAATCTCGCATCAGAGCTGATTGTACAGAATCGGCAGTACCTCAAATCGAGAAGCTTCCGCGATAATGCGGCAGTTATTGTGGTGAGCCGTTAGGTCGATTTTAACGTTTCAATGCAGCACTGCAAAGTGGCGAGAATTCTCCTCTTTGCTGCTTCTCGAAACGTGAAATGGAAGCTGAACTCCCTATTGATTGGCTTCATATACACTGCGTCCCATAATTATAACTCCACCCAAGAATTTCCCAAAATCTCACAAATTTAGATGTTAAGAAAAAGTCTGCAATGTAGGCATTGTAGTAAATACAAATACGAAATTACTTATAAACATCAACTTCCAACTTGAGATCCCAGGAATTTTTTCTAATAATTTTTGTTCAAAAGGCCACTTAGCCGACGTCCCAAAATTATAACTCCACCTCATGTTTTTCTATTATTTTTCACTTCCGTTTCGCCAAACTTTTTTATTGTGCTAACATCCTACTTCTCAAGGGGACAGTATGATAGAAAATGCTGTCTGACTTTTAAAAGGTCAGCTCGTCGCAAAAACTGTTGAACAACGCTTTCTCGCCAGATTTGGACCAAATTCACGCCAAGCTCAAGAATTTCTTCAGGTCTTACACGATATGGAGCTTACGAGAGCTCTAAAGGTCTCTCATTGATTTTCGATAGAAACAAAGGCCGTGTCACAGAAAAAACATTCTTTTTTATAAGCCGTGCTCTGCCATCGAATCTTCTTTGGAACTTAATGTCTCAACGGAACAATGTTTCTTGCTTGCGAATGAATCCTAAGTTGATGCTTGAGTGGAAAACGTGGACGGCATCATTTTCGGAAAGAAACCTTGGCGAAAATTGAGCCGATTATAGCATAAAGATGCAGAAAAGCCGACTGGAATAAGGTTCGCTTTTGCTTGATATGTTGTAGCATTTGTTTGTTTTTCTTTTCGTGTCTTTCTTATCCTTAGCAGCTTTTCTCTTCGCGAAACACTACCAGGAGAAAGGAAATGGCGAAGAGAAAGACGGACAAACGATAATGCATCGCAAGTAAAAGCGAACCTTACTCCAGTCAGCTCCGACGCACCTTCATGGAAAACTCAGCCCGATTTTCGCAATGGTTTCTTGCCACAGATGATGCCTTCTACGTTTTCCACTCAAGAATCGACTTGGGATTTCGTTCGCAAGCAAGAAACAATGTTCCGTTGAGACATTAAGTTTCAAAGAAGATTCGATGTCAGAGCACGGCTTACTAAAAAAGAATGTTTTCTGTGAGGAGGCCTTTGTTTCTATCGAAAATCAATGAGAGACCTTTAGAGCTCTCGTAAAGGGGAAACTTATATAGTCTTAACCCTGAAGAAATTCTTGAGCTTGGCGTGAATTTGGTCCAAATCTGGCGAGAAAGCGTTGTTCAACAGTTTTTGCGACGAGCTGACCTTTTAAAAAGTCAGACAGCATTTTCTATCATACTGTCCCCTTGAGAAGTAGATATTAGCACATAAAAAAGTTTGGCGAAACGGAAGTGAGAAAATAATAGAAAAACATGAGGTGGAGTTATAATTTTGGGACGTCGGCTAAGTGGCCTTTCTAACAAAAATTATTAGAAAAAATTCCTGGGTCTCAAGTTGGAAAGATGTTTATAAGTAATTTCGTATTTGTATTTACTACAATGCTACATTGCAGACTTTTTCTTATACATCTCAATTTGTGAGATTTTGGGAAATTCTTAGGTGGAGTTATAATTATGGGACGCAGTGTAGATGCGCACCATATGAAACACGAACGACGGTACTATACTATGGGATAAAACGTAGAGGTATAGCACATCCCCCCCACTTTGCTTCTAGTTTAAATGTTGAATTTTTCTTGTATGCGAGCAGCCTGACAGGAATGTCCAGTCCTTCCTAAAACATAGTAGCGTGCAGATCGAAAGCCGATACACGAAATGTACCGATTTCTGAGAAACTCGGTACGATTTCTGGAAATTACTGGGGTCGGTACCTGTGAAAAAGATGCGATGAGTTTATGCTCGTACGAGATAAGTACCTCCGTACTGAGTAGTATAACGTCGATGCATTGCTGCGGTTTCTCTCATTGCGCAGGCTCACTCGTCGCCGGGTATTTTCTGTCTGGACGCCCCGTGCATGTCCATTCTGTCTGTCTGTCTCATTGATTCTTTCGCCGGTCTCATAAAGATGAATGCATTTTCAATATTCTCGATTGACAATAGAGAGCACTCCTTCGGGCTATTTTGCCGACAGAACAGTATAAAGCACAAAAATCCTTTAGGCCGCTTGCCTCATCATTCCAGGTGCTTGATAAGCAGTACAATGATCGATAAGCCACGCTTTTAGAAGCACCTCGCTTGATGAGAGCTTACGTTCTTCCTTCACAATAGGTTTTTTGCAGTACTTTTTTTGCCAATAGTGATCAGCATTTATCATTTCGAAGTTGTGTAGTGTTTTTTGCTAGTTCTGGGGTAGAATACCCAGCTCGGGTTCACTTTGACAAGCATCTTCTATTGTGAACTTGACATGACAGGCAGTCGTGTGCTTTCACTTTTGCCGCCTTCACTTCATATCCTCTAAGTCTGCCGAGGCCTTCATGATGAATTTGTTTTGAAGAATGTTTGCTCGATTCTTAGATCACATTTTCACGAGTCACTACTGTACATACAAATTGCTTTCCATCGTTGCTTTCTATTTATATGCTAATGACTGTGAAACAGGGTTTCATTTTCGCTTTGTACATATGAATTTGTTGGAAAATAAACCGAAGATCAAGCTCGAATATTTGCTACATATTTGCTTTTTCGTGATGTGAGTCGATATGGTTTTGTGCTGCAATTCGTTACTGGCAACTTCGGCTGAACGACAAATGCTGTTGGCGGGCCTCTGTTGGCTCCCTTTTCCTCACTTATACTCGTTAATCCATTGCAACCCTCGTGCATCGCCGGGTATGCACGCCGACTCCCATATCTGGCATTTGTGCATCGTCGGGTATGCACATCGATTTTAAGCTCTCCCCCTATCTTTTTTTCTAATACTTTTGTAATTATTGAAGTTCCACTGCCTTGAATCAACAAAACACATGGCTGCCCTCCATCTTCAATTCAATAAACTCTTGGAGCTCCAACTTGCACAACCAGTGCCTCAGTTTGAAAACCCTCATAAACTGTTTAACAATAAACTCCAATTGCTTCCGAGTACTGCATTCTTCTTCTGATGAGGGGCCAGGCAAAAAACTAGCAAAAAGCAAAAAAAAAAAACGAGAAAAGGCAGAACAACAAAGGACAAAAGCAGTACGCTGCCAGCGCAATGGGGAGGTTGCAGTTGAGATTGTGTGGGTCCTGTGGCGAAATACATGGGTCTTGTAGCGAGATATATGGGTCCTGTAGCGAAAATTCCACAAAATGTCCCGAATGTGACATTTGTGCATCGCCGGGTATGCACGCAGGTAATGCAGCTATGTCACATGTGTGACATGCGCCGAAAATCACGTGCGGGCGTCAATGTGTTAAATCGTATTTACATTAGAAGGCGCTCACCAAGTTAAAGCGAGAAATTACGATAAAATTTCTGTGCAGCATGGAAGAACGAGCAGCACTTCAAGCAGTAGCTAGAGCCCAAAGGAATCGAGATGTGGCCTTTTTGTGACTAAAGGTGCGCTCGTTGCAGCGCCCTGGGGCTGCCAATCCTTTCTGAGCTCCGCCTCCGCCTGTGCTCCGCCCCTCAGCAGATCGCTGTTCGATTATCATTCTGATAAGGTATGCCACTTCGAGCGCGTATCCAATTTTTTCTCATGGAATGCTATATCAATCAAGGTATGATCTCTGGTGGTATGATGGCAGCTATGGTTTAACGAGTGCCGACGACCTCTTAGTTGGTTGCCAACTCGTCCATTATCGGAGGTCAACGGGCAGAGGAAGTGGTCCCATTTTGCGCGTTTTTGACGGATTTCTTTGCTTTTTTCGCTACTAGGGCATTATTCAGCATCTTCACTTCCACTATGAGCACAACAGAATCCTATCGTTAATCAGAGCTTTTCAGTGGTGCCGGAACGAAGAAGGATCATGAGAAACGGCTCAGAATCCGAAAAATGGACCCCCTTCGTCGTTGATTTGCGCATTGATGCGGATCTCATCCTCTGGTGCTGCCCCACCATTGGTAACGCTCCTGTGCTGAAAGGCTAGAGCTGCGGCGAGTGGTAAACCAGTCGATGGGTGTACCGCGCCAATAGCGTCGAGGTGAAGGTCGTGCCTAGTCGCGGGCAACATGCCTTCGAGTATCCTCAAGGCATGTCAGCGTCTAATTCCCACTTGATAATTTTCCCCTCCCTCGACCTTATCGTGGAATCCCCCTTACTTATCACTGCAATCTTCGCTCAGGGCAACCTAACCCTCTATCAGTCTGAGGTCTTTTGATCGCTGCCAAACTTGTTTGAGAGAATAAGAACACATTTGTATATCGGCAAGCCTTCGTGAAATAGTTGCAAGCCGAATCGCATTCATTGAAAAACGATCACCTTCAACGGACTCGAAATACGTGGCGCCTCCAGAGATTGATTTCCGTCGGATACCTCGTGTTTTTTTTTTCTGCTGGGCGGCTATTGGCGCGCCGGCTTTCCGGGCCTCGTCGTCTCCCAATCTATCTTGACTCCTTCATGCCTGCTCCTTCGCCCCCACAGAAAGTAAAAAAAACGAGTATCCGGCGGCAAATCAATCTCTGGAGCGCAGTATTCGAGCCGTTGAAGTGATCGTTTTTCAATATCGATTTTTTCTGCCAAAACTAAACGAAGGTGGAAGAGCTAAAGGCAACAAAGTGACCAGCATGGCCTGAGCAAAAAATCGAACCCGCTCGCCGCACCCCGGATACACTACCGCCGTCACTTCGAAACTCAAAAGTAAATGCAGTTAAATAAGTTGATGAACTGGCCGGAATGGTAGAAGAAACTTCTGAAAAGGATTCGAATTTCATGTTGGTTCCTGTCTCAGTCGGTACTATGCAAAATTGCGCACTTTAAAGCAGGCAACTTTTTTAGAAAGGACCATTCTTTGAAGATATTCTGTGATTTGGGGAGAGGAGTTGCTCATATAAATGTGCCACACTTCTGAAGGGCATGGGGAAACAATTTTCAGGGTTTTTTAGAAATGCTCACGAAATTTCAAAAATTTTCAAATTTTGACTTTATCCATCATCATCGAGCAAAGAGGACTTCCGTATCGCTCTCAGCGTGAACTGCAAGTATGTCGCTGTATGAAGAGATCTCAGTTACTACCTTGATACGCAAACCCTTTTTAAAAAAATCGTGTTACAGGATAAGTTGCTTATAGCCCACGTTACGTCGAGGCTGATTGAGTTTGAATCGGGAAAAATTTCAGCCATCAGGGTAGAAGATTCCTGGAAAGCTATTTGATAGAATGGGAAGCGGTCTTCAAGTCTCGTAGGGTTTATTCGGATGAGCTTTAGCAAGATGTAAGTCCGTTTGGGTATTAATGAAGTGACTCTTTCTTTGGCCCCCCTCTGTCATGGAAAACAAGTGCAGAAAGGTGTGGTGCATGTGTAGTTTTAGCTAAGAAAAAAAACATAAGGAGCGCTGCGAAGAACTCGCCGACATTCTCATTAATAAGAAGCAGTATCGCTGAGAAAATCACGTCGAAATCAGAGCAGTTGTTTAGTATTCTACAGAGATCAGAATCTGGATCACTAATCAGCTTAGCATTCCCTAAACGAATAATATGCCAAGCCGAGTCGCATGGCTCTTTTTCTTGAAATATCCGGAAACCATATTCTAAACACACAGTTTTCTAAAATCGAACAGCTGTGGAGCCCTATGGTCGGTTCATAAATAAATGCAGACACGACAGCTTCAAATTCGTACACCTGTAAGTGTTTTGAGAGTATGTGAGGATTCGAATATATAGAGATTTGTTGAAGGATCGTATGCACATTCGCTTATGTGCATAACAATGCGAATCAATAAAACAAAAGCATCAAGTGATGAAGAGTCAGTGAGTCCAACACTGATTTCGGGACAGTGATCTGAAGTGGCAAGTCAAATTGAAAGCAAAATGATACAGGAGAACGGTTTTCTTGTAGGAGATTCGGAGTGATTATGAGTCTTGAAATCTAATTATTCTTGGAAGATTTGTTTTCGACGTTGTTTGTTTTTTGTTTGCGATGTTGTTATTCCATGTTGTCTCGTAGTAATGCGAACTACGGCTGAGCCACCCCCCCTTACTTAGTTCTAAGACGAGAAATAATGATCCTGACGATCCTTACATAATAATACAGCCCACCCAACGGGCGACACTGCTTAAATGTTGCAGAAAGCGATAAGCACAGGATGCCAAAAAGGGACTTTTAGCTTAAGGGCACCGCTCATCAGCCAACCTTCTCGCACGAACACCCTTGACGAGTTTCACTACAATAAGATCCTGAAATGTCTGCGGGAGCAGGCCGTGTCCACTGCCCGCAGTCTTCTATGAGATGAAGCACCTGGTACGTCGTGAATAAGAGGCATTGAGCTTGTTATTGCACTTCCGTGGTGGAGATATTCTAATGTCACTCTAAAGAATGCTCTTAACAAATTGTAATAGTTTTCGATGGTTCTACAGTGTTTCAGTTGATGTGTTTAAGGCGAGGATCAGGATCAAATTGATGTGGTAATTCCGCTAGACGAAAGTAGGGATGGACCACGAGGGGGAAAAAGTTAAAAAAGAATCCGTCAAAAGTAAAGAAGTTTCGCTCTACGCTGTGCAGAGTAAGAGGCAGACTAGACTGCGAGATATTAGGTAATAGCTGCAGAGAGGAAAAAGAACTTGAGAGAGTTAAGAGAGCATAACAGATCAAGAACACGATACAGAGAAGATAACGGACTGATCGTCCAAGGCTGAGTACGGTCCATACCTGAGCGTTCATTATTTTAGTGACGCGTCTGGAAGCGAAGGCGTAGCGACCACTGCAAAGGTGGACCTAAAAGTATCCTACCAGAGGCTGTCGTCCGGCAAGAAATCGTAGTCACTGGACCAGCCGCAGCGGCACTGCAGTAGCGCCAATTTGAATAAAATGCACCATTGTACGTCCTACACCGCACATCATACGCTGCGACTCGTGCGCTGACTCTTCCTTCTCACGAGCCTCCTGTCGGGTACTCGTGAAGCTGTCCACGAGAGGGCTTTCTCAGTGAGACTAAGCGCAATCGGCTTTATACCAAGCAAAAAGTGATTAATCCAATTTTGAATGTGAGGGATGAATGTCTCTTTTTTTAGTCACCTATACTAATTTCACATGTGATAAGAATGATAACATTAGCAATTATGGTAATTTATTGGAGCGTACG